AAGAGTAAAACAGGAAAAATACAGAAGCTACTGAGACTTAAATATTCCGACCAGAATCTGCATGACAAAATCCTTATTTGAATTTTCAACAATGCTCACCACTCTTCAACATAGAAAAAAATCCATATACTGTGATCCTACATATATGTTAAATCAATCATACAAAAGATGAACAATACGTATGCAAAAATACCCCAAAACACAAAATAAGTCTGGCTATCTTTTGAGAGAGAAATTAAACATGTTCATCCAATAGACACAAGCCTAAGTTCAATAAAACTGCAAATGAGGAACATTTCATCATCGACTTCTTTCCATGTAACTCAACTAACCTTAGTCTAAGTAGGGAACTATATGTTTGTGCACGTACTTTCCTCGTCAAAGGAAAATTTAGCATAGAGGAAAAGTTTTTTGAAGGTGCACTTAATTTGCAAATACACCAAATGCGAAGAGAGAGAATTGTTTTCGGATAGAAAGCAAGTGCAAGAATACAACCGGTATTACACGTGAAACGAGAAAACCTTGATTGTGAGCAAAATCTCATCTCATCTCATCCCATCCTCCCAGACCCTATAGGTAACATGGACCTGTCCATGCACATGCATGAATGACAGTACATACATGTGCATAGGAATACATACAAACACATATTCATGCAAGGTATTAGAAAACTGTTACAAATTACAATAAACATACTACATATAAGAAAATAAGTGTTAGAAAAGCATGCATATATTCATGCAAGGTATTACAAAACTGTTACAAATTACAATAAACATACTACATATAAGAAAATAAGTGTTAGAAAAGCATACCAATCCTGTTTTTAAATGTAAACGATTAACTGACGGTATACCTCTGCTGTTGATCTGGAACAACCCCCATGGAAGATAAGATTTTTAAGAGCTTTCTTTGCATCGGCACGCTTTTCTCGTACTGCGTATCTTATATAATTCTGAATCAAAATCTTCCAATGTCAGAGAAGTTTAAGTAATAAATCTAACATGGGAAAAAACAAACTAATTCACATATTATTGATTCTTAAGACATATAAATGGACTGAACAAAAGCCAGTTCGCTAAAATAGAACTCCAAATTTACATATCACGAAAGGCCCAAAAAAAGGTTGATCATCACAAGATATGATGCGAAATCAGTAGTAATAATATATTATATTAGCGCCAGAAAACAAATAAGCAAATTTCTGATTATGATAACATGCTTCATGTGCTAATCCTATCATGTAAAGACATGTACAGAAGAATGCAAAAGCACAAGAAAGGATGATGTTGGAAGGATCGACAGCCTACTTTGCTTTATTCTTTTTCATAATCCTAAACTCAATTATTAAAGTTCACCAATATCTAAGGTACTAAAAGTAAATAAGACCTGAGATGGCTTGTTTGCCTTTGATGGCTGATGACTGCTTACATCCTGCAGGGTAGTTTAATTGTTAAACTTCACATCTAGAGAGAAAAAATAATGCCTGTTTCTGTCTTACAAAGGGAATGAGTAAAAAATAACTCTCACATACAAACAGAAAATAGCCAGCAATTGGAGAGTGGGGCGTATAAAAAAAAAGAAAACATCAGCAGAGACCACTGCCCTTTTCTTTATTTACATTCTCTGAATGAAAGTCAGCAGATTGCACCAAACGGACAAAATAGAGAAGAGATGTTGGATTCTAACAGATTCCATCCCAAAACACTTCCGAAGCAGCATTACAGACACAATTAGGTAACAATTACGATGACAGTTGTCAGTCAAAAGAAATCCAACATCAATAGTTCCATCAAAACATCTCATGATGATACTTCAATCCTCCCCCTTCTCTCTCTCTCTCAAATTCTATACATATCAAAAATTTATTTTTTCTCCCTTTTTACAAGAACGAGATCTTCCAACATCCGATTATAAAAACTGGCAATATGCAATAAAACATGATACATCAGAGAATCTAGTTTCCAAATTTATACTGCTCGGATAATCCATTAGTGGTCTGGGCCAAATCCAAAGGCAGCTATAGTATAGCCAAAGGAAACTTTAGAGCACCAAAATGACAAGAAATCCTCCATGTTTATTTCTCTTTCTTCCTAAGAATGCCAATCCTGCACATGCGACCTTTAAGAATCTATAAAACACTTTTAATATGAAATGGACTAATGTAAACTAAATGCAATGACCACTTTTTTGACAATAAAATTCCATTAACTTTGTATTTAAGATGACAAAGTAGAATTAACTACAACTTCCATTTGACCTCTTTCGAGGGGATCGAGTGCAAAAACATCAAGAACATGTTGAATCTCAATTTTCTCACATGTGAAACCTCATTCTACCTCTTAAAATTAGTTCACACCTTTGTGAATGCAAAATCTCATGAAGCATTAATCTATGACAGCGAGGTCATAAAAATTAGCATCCTCACAACACCTCGCAAAAGTTACTCCCCCTAATGAACGCAGTACTTTGTCTTCAACAATATTTAGTTCTCACATAGTCAGCTAGCACTTACCAATTGTTCTTCTGACAATTTTTTTTTAACAGCATTATGGTACAGTACTATGCGATGGCACTTTGTCCAATAACATTTGGATATCAAAGGTCAAACTAACCCCAGCTCATTACCACCTATCAAGTCCCAAGTTAGATTACTAGTCTTTGTAACATAGTTGGGCACTAAGCAGTAGGCTTGAAAAAATTAAATTAATGTAGGGAGGTATCAACTATCAAATACGCAGGCAATGCCGCAATGGTCCACTTAGACCAAATATATCTGATTTGAATGAGTCAACTTTATTATACACTTCTTACATAACTATCAGATATCCAAGCGAAGAGCGTTACAAATTCCTCCACATAAATACGTAACCAATCCCTTACCCAGTCCGCTCAACTAAGTAATAGTGCCATGATGCTGGCTATACATCTGTCACACCAAAATCAGCGGTCTGGACCAACATGACCACCATCAAAATGCACGAAGTGAATCACCAAAGAGGCTTAAACAAAAGGCTCTCGAGTCGTTTCTCACATATTTTCCCAAATATATGGTCTTTTACAACAAATGAACAAGATCATATTATGAAATTCAATCTACCAAGCTAAGTGTCAATATCCAAATCCACAACAAACCCAGCAAAAATAACCTGTCTTCAAAACAAAAGCAAAAAATTTCCCACAATTCAATAAAAATAAATAGATACTTTAACTAACATGGTTCGAAGAACAGAAAAAAGCAAACATATTTAATCGAAATAATGTAACAAGGATAAAATTGCTGTCTTCAAAAATTGTAAAAGAGTAATTTCGAGAAACGGGCAAAAATCTTACTGGGTTCCCCTTGTTCTTCCATTTCTCAAATGAAACATCAGTAGAATGGAAATTAGCCAAATGGGCTGTTGATGGTGTAGCGATCCATGTTGATTGACTCATTGTGTTCTTCAAAGTAAACGCGTTTCGCCATCGGGGTATTACTTGCATTATATATCGAACGAAGAGTAGCGAAAAAAAATTAATCTAAACGACGATTTGCATATAAAAATAAAAAGGGATATGTGCCTCTGTGCGTGTCAGTGTGTGTTTCGCCGAGGATTTTCGGGTAGCTTTTCGTGAAAGTATGCACTGTCGCTAAACAAAGGTATTGAGTCTATTGACGCACAGTCGACGGGCCGAGGGCGTGTTCAACTCAACCGGGTTTTTTGTTGCTTTAACGGGTTGGGAAAAATGAGAACCAAACCGGTAGCCGATCCAGCGAAGGAGCAGTACCTAATGTACTGTATATTTGTACCCCGAAAATTTGAAGGACGATTCAAGAATCAAAAATGCTACTTATACACACTTGATATATAACTTGGCACACAACCATATCGTATGTCTGTGGGGTCCACAATGGAGCCCATATTGTGGGATCCACACACATGTGAGGGGGTTGTGTAGCGTAGCAAAGTTTTTCAAGAATTGTAGCATATTGGCGCCTGGTTTAATAGGTAGGGTTTCTTATTGTGGCCTTATTTGGACATATTTGGTTATATTTTATCTTATATTTAATTACATTTGAGTCCGTTTAGTGTTAATTTGATGTTAAATGGGTATTAAAATAAATTAATGAAAGTTAAATATACCCTTTTACTTGATATAAAATTTTAATAGAATATATATCAATACGTAAATTATTATTTAATTATATTATTTTCAGTTAGTCACATTGATCATTGATCATCCCTCTTTTTAGGGTCAACTTACGAACCGATTTTCAAAATAACTGAGCTTCAGGTAGTCGTGGAAAAATAATTCCAATTTAAATAAATCTTTATTTTGTATACATTTTCATCTTTTTTGCTTTGAAATTTAAAGGTCTATTATCTAATTCAAATAATACTCTTGTTTTCCATTGAATGAAAAAAAAAAAAAAAAAATCATATCCCATCCTCTCCGGTTCCTATTTATTTTTTAAAAAAAAAAAGGAGGAGGAGGAGGAGAAGAAGAAGAAAGAATCATGTTGCTATAATAATAAGGAAGACTGACTTATAAATTTTAATAGGCTCAAGGTTAACTTGTTTCTCAAGCAATAAATTAGGGACCAATAGTGAAGAAATATAGATTTTTTTCAAACAAGAATAATGTTAGGTGTACATAGAGTGTGTTTGGTAGGGATTTTTTGGGGGAGAATTGATTTTTGAATAGTGATATGATGGGNTTTGATGGAAGAATTGATTTTGAATAGTGATATGATGGGAAATGTGTGGTTGAAAAAGAAGAAAAAATTATTGATGTGATGGAAAATATTATTTTATTGAAGAATGTGTGGTTGAAAATAAGAATTGATTTACTGTAGAAAATGAAAATCTGTACCAAACAGGCTCATAATATGGTTCACAAAGGCTTTACAGGGAATTTGAAAATGTTTGAGGTGGCACTAAAAAAAGAAAAAGAAAAAGTGAATTAAAAAAGTGGGAACCAAGTACTACATCTCCCCAAAATTATCCAATTATCATATTTCACATAGTGACGACTACACTCATCTTCTCACCCATGTCGGCTAACAAATCAGTGCCGCACCTCTGGCCACACCGTAAACCCCGATGCCCAGGCTCTTCCACCTAAACAGAGATGAAGGTAACTGAAAAGATTTTGAGCTTTCTCATTCAACAATTTGATGGAATGTGCATCTTTGCCATATTTTTGTAAAAACTCATCGAGTTATGCCCATGTTTGGTTTGTATTAAAATTCAATTAAAATTTCAAGTCAAAATCAACAATTAATTTTAACCACACATTTCAAGAAACCTAAAACTTTTCAATCACACATTTTATCAACTTTTATTAAAATCTACTAAAAATCTGATTTTAATCTTTATCGATCATGGGGCTATATCTCCAAGAATTAAGTCATCTTGCCATACTTTTTGAGGACTATTCTATGTGATGTTTGTACATGAAGATTGCTGCAGATAAAATGAGTCAGCTGAATAGGAAGGCACAGGTGAAAATGCATTGTTCTGCAGTCACAGTGCATTGCCACAATTTTGATTAATAGATACAAATACCATTAAAATTAGGAGGAGAATATCAAAAAATAAGTCCTTCATTGCATTGATTCACGTAGTTTACAAAAAAAGTAAAATGAGACACAACCATAGTAGATAAATCACTGCACAAGCAATAATTACAACTCAAGCAAGCCACTTCCCTTTTGCATCTCTTCCGCGATACCTTTTCCCCTCCAGATGGTCACGCTGACAGAAATCTGGAGCTCTTCTTTGTCAGTTAGACAAGCTTGCGATTGGAACATGCGGGATACATCTTCGACTAGAGCAATTCATATTTCCATAATTCTTTCGTTCCATTCTACAAACAATCAATCAAATGTCAAATAGAAGCTCTAATTATGCGAAATATGAATTACTCAAATAATGAATAAAATACAAACACCAACCAGGGGGGATTTTATCCCCATTTACATATGACAAACACAAGCTAGGATGAATTAATCTTCACTTACGTATGACAAAAGTTAAGAAGTAAACTCAATCGCCAGCTGGGATGAATTAATCTCCAGTTGGGATGAATTAATCACCGCTTACATGGTTCGACGCCACCGAATGAGGACAGGATTGTGGGGGTGGTTTCACAACAGTGGAAGTTCAGAGCAATGTTCGACAGTTTTCGGTGTTGGCGAAAATGTTTGGGAACGGTAGAGACTTTTGTTCTTCACTGATTTTGGCATCGGCTAGAGGCGAAGATGAGTCCAACGGTATTGGCTCGCTGTTGTGAGGAGAGGAAATTGGAGATGATAATGGAGAGGTTTGGGGGGTTTCCAACTTGGGAAAAATGAAAGAGTTCTGAATTCCTCTCGTGTCGTTTTCTTTCTTTTTTTTTCTCTCGCTTTCTCTTTGCCACCTAAGCCCTGTAAAACACATGTGAATCCCTTCCTTGTACCCCAAGCGCGATCAGAAAAACAATTCTAGACATGGATTTTGCTATGTACACATAACAAAATCCATAGGGATGTCCATAATGGACAAATGGGTAATCCATTGGGGGGTGCCATTTGTCAATTATGGACACCCTTGAGTACATTGCTATGTACACATAGCAAAACCCTCTAGACATTTAATGATGGTCAAAGGCAATCGTAGGATATATCCTAAAATTCTACAAAATAGTATTTAGGACGTGTTCGGTAGAGATTAAAATTGAAAAACTAGTCGTTATTGTTGACTTTTATTAGACGAGTGACACCCAACAACGACTATATTTTCAATTTTAATTGGATTTAAATCACTCTCAAACATGCTCTTAGTAGAATTATTGAACAATTAAGAATATATCATAGTTATTATAAATTTAAAATAATATGCATCTCATGGGTCCACGATGGAAACTATCGGCTAAGTATTAGGACTATCGGCTAAGTATTAGGCGTCTGTTTAAGCCCCTGTTTGTTCTGCATCACATAGAAATGAATTTTTTTCACCCTTTTTTTCAAACCATTGGGCCTCCCTATGAGAGAAAAAGGTCAACAATTGTAGCCATTTTCCTGTAGCAATGGTCAGAAATTTCATTTTTAGTGGAAACAAACAGAGCCCAAGTCCAATTTTTTTAATGTACAATGTATTTTGAAATAAAATAAAGAAAATTTTTGAGTTTGAATGTAATATTATTTTATTAAAAAATGTGTAATTGAAAAGAAGTGAGGAAAAATGTAGGGAAAAGTCCATTTATCCTATTTTTACTATATATTATTTCAAAAATAAGAAAACAAGTTTTAAATTTCTAAAATCAAATATTTGACACACACACACACATACACGCACGCGCGCGCGCACACACACATATATAACCCACCCCACCTCCACCACCCCTACCGCTCCGACGATCATTCCGGCAACTACTCCGATTTCGACGATTACTTAGGTGACCATTTCGGCGATTATTCCGACGACGGTTCCGACAACTGCTCTGATTCCGACGACTATTCTGGTGATCGTTACGGCGACTGCTCAAATTTCAGCGACCGTTCAGGTAACTATTCTGACGACAACTCCGCCTTATTTTTGTGCCCTATACAAAACATATGACCTGTTAATATTGATCTGTGATCCGTTGATATTGATTTGTAACCTATAAAAAAATAACTTTAACTTGTAAACTCAAACATGTGACAACGATCTGTGACCCTAACGATGAATTAATTTGACACAGTTCTATACAATATGGTCTTGACTATCAAATTAGAATTGATCATATTGATCCGTGACCCGTCTACATTGATTTGTGACCTATACAAAATGACTGTAACTTGCGAACTCAAACTTGTGACCAGTGAACTGTGACCTTATCAGCTATTTATTAATTGCAAATCTATCACAATTTATTAAATTATTGGTTACAACTTATTTTATGGTCACAAATCAAGAATTTTATAGATGTTTCTTGGTCACGAATAGAAAATTTTATAATTCACAAAATAGTCATCGATCACAAAATCAAAATTTTTATTGGTCACAACTCGATTACACCTTAGTAAATTGTGAATCACAATAACAATTTTTAAGTCATGTATTATACATCAATGACGAATCATTGATGACATTCTCAAATTAATTGGTCACATATTATTTTTGTCACAAACCACATTTTATATCACAACTTATTAAAATAATAGACCGAGTATTATTTTTCTATATCAAGTCACGGTGTATTTTAAGGTCACAATTAACTATTTTATTGGTCACAAAAATTGTACAGCATCACCACCACTGTCTCACATACCCTAAATCTACGCCGTCGTCGCACAACAACCACTATCACTAGATTCGCCAACACAGTCACAACTCACCATAAGCGTTACCGTCGCCGCCAATCCCCACCTCCACCAACTACAACCCCATATCGCCGTCACACTCGACACCCACCAGCACATCGCACATATCCACCACTGCACATCGCAAAGACCCACCACCGCCACATACCACCACACCACACCACTCACAACACACCACCACCACCTCAACACAAATCTACCGTCACGACCACACCGCGCCACCACCTACACCAAGATCCACCGCCAAAAAACCCACAGCTTCCGCTATATCTAACATAACCTCTGCCCCTGACACAATTACCATCACCCAAACACCAATGATTTAGATGTGGTTGGCCTATTATAAGTGGCAACATACACTGATTTCTCCTTCACAGAATCAAAATCATGGCCGTGTAAATGAAGCAATGGTGTTTCTTGAATAGACTGAGATTTTCATCTCTTATCTTCTTCATTCATATGATTATTACACGAAACCTTAGAAAGAATGATCAGAAAATCTCCCCCTTCGACTTTTCTTAAATTCAAATCATCTAATCCACCTTCATCTACTATAACTCCTTTGATAGCTCCACCTTGTTGTATGAATTCTGTGCAAGGAAATGCTGGTGCATCTTCCTTATGAAAACTAGACTCGTATTTATTCTTCTTATGGTGTCGAGCTAAGGAAAATCTATAGAATAAATAGAATAAAAATCCAGCAATAATCAAACTGCAAACTGTTATAGCTGCTTTTACAACCAACACATCACTTGCCCCCGCCACCTTCACCGCGATCATCATTTTCAGATTCGCCACATTCTACGCCGCCGAGAGAGAGAGAGAGAGAGGGGAGGTGGGGGTGGGTGGGGGTGGGGGAGATAAGTGAACGGAGAGGGAGATAAGTGAATTTAGGGTTTGATTTGGGATGAAATTAAAATATAATTTGTATATATATATAATCTGTATCTAATTAAAAATATTTGATTTTTGAAAATTAAAACTTGAAATCTGATTTTGGAAAATAGATCTTGAAAAGTAGGGAATTGAGTAATTTTCACAAAAATGTAGATCTCAAACAAGCACTAATTAACAATTAATAACAATGATAAAATATTTAAATGTTAAATTGTTTTATTATAAATGTTGTGAACCAACTTGCTACATGCTACATAGCTCGAGTCAGAGACCAACAGCAAAATTCTTAAATTTGTTTTAAGTATTCGTCTTTTGCCCTTGTTTGGGCTCCATTAAAATCAAATTTCGAGGTAAATGTTGAAATAGTGATTTTTTGAGAATGAGGTTAAAAAATTAAATTTTTTTTGAATTTATGTGTAATATTATTTTATTGAAAAATGTATAATTAAAAATATGATAGAAAAATGTATTTTGGATAAAATAGAGCACATACAAGATCTTAATAAACTCCATTTCCATTTATTTCGGCAGAACAAAGACTATTAAAGACCATTTTATTTCAATTAGTGCTATCAAATCAAATTACACCTAATTTCGATTGAAAAATAGAAGAAATCATTTCAAAAAACTCATTGTTGACTCGTCTAACCTATTCAAATGGACAAGTTGAGCCAACTATGAGTTTATTCAATTCAAAAAGGTTTTATTTTTTCATAAATGGATAAATTAATTTAAAAATATTTAAACTCGTTAAATTAACTAGATTGTCTTAATTTGTTGCTTGAACTATTCTTATTTCTTATATCATTTCTGCTACATGTACAAGAATTTCGTACAAATAGACTGATAGATACACGTACTTTGATTTAAATTTCAGAAATTCAAATTAACGGACGCATGCATCTGGCAATCTACTTATACAAAATCATTTATACAAGTATGTTAATTGTTTTTATACTGAGTTAAAACTTGCAAGTTAAAAATCAACTAATGACTATCAGTATTACATGTACGTTATTTATTTTTGACAACTGATTCTATGTGGAGATGACGTGGGAGTCGATTTTAGCTCAAATCAATTCTCATTTTCAACTACATATTTTTCAATAAAATAATATTTTCCATCACATCAATAACTTTTTCTTCTTTTTCAACTACATATTTCCCATCATATCACTATTCAAAAATCAAGTCTTCCCCCAAAAATCCCTACCAGACAAGTTCTTAAAACGCCTCTTTTGATGGTTTTTTTCTTTTTCTTTTTTCTTTTTTCTTTTTTTCTTTTTCTTTTTTTTTTTTGCACAAAATCTTTCGATGGAAATTTGGTTGTAGCAAAAAGGGCGGCCAAAAAAGGAAATATCACGTGATAGGCGCGTGCACTAGGGTTTAAGCTCCAATTCCCCCTCTTCCTCCCAGAGAAACCCCTGTACCTCAGGTCCTCAACCGCCCTACAGACAACCCTATATTCGCTGCATCAAATGACAGTCCCTTACGCTCTCTTACTAGTACTCTCCATAAAAAATCCACTCCCAAAATGAAATTCATTTCTCCAAGACCCATTTTCACTCTCTCCTCTGTATCGAACCCCAAAAGAACCTTTTTCAAGATTTTCCATTTATCAACATCCGCCCCATCGTTTCATTCGTCTACCAGTTCCACCTACCATTCTCGCCGCCATGAGGAGGAGAGCCGGAATGTCCAGGTTTCGGTCTGGTGGGATTTCGAGAACTGTGATTTGCCTTGTAATGTGAATGTATTTAGAGTGGCACAGTTCATTACCAGTGCCGTAAGGGCGAATGGGATTAAGGGTCCAATTCAGATCACGGCCTTTGGCGATATAATGCAACTCTCCAGGGCCAATCAGGAGGCTTTATCTGCTACTGGGGTTAATCTCAATCATATTCCTTCTGGTAAGTTTTTCTTCTTGCTTTTCGAGCTATTTCATTGTGTATTTACATGTATTTGATTGTTTTCCTCGTTAACCTGGTAAAAATTGCAATTTAAATTGAGTACCATTATTTAGCTATTAAAAAGGTATGATCAATGAAGGTTGTGGGACATGAAGTGCGGGGTACTGATACTGTATATTCATGTATTTCATTTAAAAGACCTTAAGTTTTAAAGCCTTTGGTAAAAATTGCAATTGGGTAGATTATTGTGGTTAAAAAAAAATTGATTTTTTAAAATTTTGAACTGTAATAGCTCAGTATCCTTTTATTTCTGCCTGACCTAGAGAAATAGGTATTGTGAAGAAATAAGTTCAATCAATATTTATCTTGGAAAATATTTTCAAATTCTTAAAATTTAAAGAGAAGATTATTGAAGCAAATGAATTGAAAATTTAACATTCCCTGAAAGATTTTGAATTCTAATGGATGAGTTGAACTATTGAAAGTAGTGTTCAATGAGTCCTTTTTAAGGGTCCTCTTCCTTCCCCTGTGTTGTGCTAGTTTAATGATATTTTATGTTTACAGGTGGAAAAAACAGCGCTGACAGATCTCTTCTCGTGGATCTTATGTATTGGGTTTCTCAAAATCCTCCACCAGCGCACCTTTTCTTAATATCTGGCGACAGAGGGTTTGCGGGCATTTTACATCGGCTAAGGATGAAAAATTACAATATCTTACTAGCCAGTCCAGATGGAGCTCCCAGTGTTCTACGCAGTGCTGCAAGTATCATGTGGCAATGGAATGCTTTGGTTAGGGGGGAGAATCTTAATGGAAAGCATTTTAACAAACCTCCGGATGCCCCCTACAGTTCCTGGTATGGTCATTCCAAGGCACCCCTTGAAGACCCCTTTGCAGTTACCGAGCAACCTCCAAACCATACAGATGAATTGTCTCACTCTGATACAGATTCTAAGCTTCGACCAATTCCCAAGGCAGTCACAAAACAAATTCGTCAGATTTTGAACTCGTACCCTGAAGGGATTCTAATTACTGAACTTCGTAGGGACTTGGTAAAGAGTAATTTGAATATAGATAGAGACTTGTATGGATATAAAAAGTTCTCCAGGCTTCTTGGAGCCATGCCACATATTCTAGAACTTCAGCCAGGAAGTGATGGTCAGATCTATGTACGCGGTGTTAGCATCAAAATTTCTGAACAAGATGAGTCAAGCCCATCTATATATACAGGACCCATAGCTAACAAAGGAGGATCTGAAACTGTATCACTCCTTAAAAATCCTGAAGCAAAGACGGTAGCTCATCCAAGAAACTGGCAAGAGCCATCAAACATGCATGAGCAAAAAATAAAAATGCAAGAGCCACCAAAAAGGGAGAAAGAGTCTTTCCCACCAATGAAACTGCAAGAATTACCAAAGAAACAAGAACAAACAGTGCAGGATCTAACGAAAAAAGTTGAAGTTCCCTCTTCTCCTGTTGGAGCTCTGGTTAATGCCACAGAAAATAAGAGTCAATCGCATGCTTCTGAGGAGCACAGTTCTGAGGCTGAAGTCTGGATCTCCCAAAGGATATGGAGGAAGTGGTTTGGGAGTAAAGATAGGGACGCGGATAAGAACAATTTTAGCAAACAGGATGAAATTTCTGTTGGCAATTTAACGGCTGAGGACAAAGATGCGATATCAACAAGTTTGTCTGCTAAATCAGTTTGTCCTGCATTATTTTCACCTTCAAGTCATGAGGCCATTATTGATGGAAAAATAGCTTATGATTCAGATGCTTCTGCTGAATCATCCAGCCAAAGATCTAGTATATTCTCTCAGTTTATGCGCTGGTCTAGATTTTGGAGCTCCTCAGACTCTAATCATGCAACTGAAGAATCTCGAGAAAATATTGAACGGATGAAAAATGATAATCAGAAGCATGATGTTTTTATGGAAGAACCCTTTTGGAAGGAAATAGAGGCATTCATTGAAACATCCCAAGCTTCAGCTATTGCCTTCCAATCAAAGACCAGGTGCAAATTTCAATATATTTTTTTTTTGTCTTTTTTGTTTCTGGTATCTGCTGATTACAATTTGACCATATTATTATATATTAACTTAATTCAGTTACATTGTTCTCTATTGTGTTTTATCTTCTGCTGAATTACAAGAGGTAAATTACATCGTTGTTTAAAATATTGTGATGGTTGTTGTGATTAAGATTATTTACTGAAAGAGTGATAAGACAGACTGATAGTTATTCAAGAAGTTTTATCTTAATGCCTGACGTTTAAATTGTATCAGCATTACATGCATTTGAGTTAATATCAGTAGATTGTCTGATTTCATACTTATGGCCATATTTCTTACTGGACTTCGAAGAAAAACTGGTTTGGTTACATGCACACTTGTACTTAAATTTTCTTCGCTCCTTGTGTATCTAGTTATGCTTGCTTGCTGTAGTTAGTCACTTGATTGTCATAATTATGTTAGTGGATGCATCTCTTATATTGTGGCAATTTTGCTGATTTAACTAAATGGCTTAAGTTAGGGCTTGTTACGGTGAAGATTATTTAAAAATCGTTTTCCAACACACATTGTATGGGCCTTGCTGCTGAAATTATAATTGAAACACTCTCAAACAAGCTTCAAGTCAAATTTGGTATTCAATATGTTCTAGATGGGTTGATCAATCATATGGTTAAAATATTTCATTCATTAGCAATGACGTAATTCAGTCATAATTCTATAACTTATTATTATAAAACTTCTATTCCACTTTGGTAGCATTGACGTATTCGAAAGTGTAATCTTTATTTCCTTTTTAACCCATAAACAGTGGGATTTGAATCTGAGACCTCAACCTTAGTACTTTTAGCAATTGAAACAATCCTTCTAAAGCACGCACAGGAGTAATTATTAGCTTTAAGGTATTGGACTGAAATTTGACTTTGGTGAAATTTCTTTTTTTCCGTTGCATTAAGTGCTTAACTGCCTATGAACTTTATTTTGTGTTAACTTTAGTGTGATATGAAACAGGGAGCATCTGGCACAAAATTTACAAAACAAGGGGCCACCAGTTCTTAGATCACTTCCTCTGAGTAATCTTCTTCACTTGGTGGACTTACTAATCTCTGAGAAGAAATGGATCAAGGAATGCCACTCTCAAACCTATCCTTTTAAAGTTCTTCAGCATACTGGAAAGGATCCGTCTAACAATCATCCTTCCCATTTAAATGGACTAAGTTCTATATTTCAGCTGGGGGACCCACCATCCGCTTCACATAACCTACAAGAACTTGTAGACGAAAAGCACCAGAATATCCGTGAACCTGTATGCCAGAGTTCCTCCAGCAAATCGAGAAGTGAGATACTAGCCGACTGTCACAAGCTTGTGGATCTTATCGTAAAGGAATATCCTGAAGGATTTAACATGGGAGCTTTTAGGAAACTATTTCTCGATAAATATGGCTACTCTCTTGACTTACAGAAGCTTGGTTACCAAAAGTTAGTAACCCTTTTACAGATAATACCTGGGGTGAGAATAGAGTCTAATTATATCATTCCTGCTGGTGAAATCTCAAAAAATCTCGACCTAAAATCTTCTGATTTGCTTGTTCAAGAAAGTGAGGTTGGTAAAGTAGGCAATTTGGGTAGTGAATTATCGGAAACATCGAGGAAAGATGACGATGTCAATTCTCCTTGGGAGGAACTAGGCCCAATTGCTAATTCGGGCCACGAAACGGACGAAACAGTGGGGCCAACATTCCATGATTATGAACCTCTAGCTGATGATGATTTTTCTGATTCAGAAGATGAGATGTCCTCCAAATCAGAAGGTGGAGATAAGTCTAGAATGGACGCAGAAGATAGCTCTTTATTGCAGATTCTCGACTCATGGTACAGCAGTAAGGACGATAATGGTAGAAAGGATGCACCAGAGAATCTCGCCAAAAATAGTTTAAAGCCATCTGCATCAGCCGGGCTTGCCACCAAGAATGGGACTGCAATGGTAAACCATGCACGGAGGCAGAAACCTACGAAGAGCTATTCATTCGTCTCGGAACAAACCAGAAATGATAAAGACAGATCGATTGATAATATTTTGGGCTGCTTGAAGAAGTCTGGTGAGAAGTCGGCAGATCCCAGGGTACCGGGCTGAAAATTTCATTTTAGTTTATCTTGGCTTTACTTATAGATAAACTAATTAGAAGAGATCAAATATTCAGAAGTAGGCAAGGATTTCTCCATTATTTTTCTGTAAATAGCAATGTTTTGAAAACCGACCCGGACATCGACTCGGAAATTGAAAAGGGTCAAGGGTCAAAGGGTCGAACCGGGTATTTTTAAAAAATTAAAAAATAAATGAATAATTAATCCAAAAAGTGAATAATGTCAACAACATGAAAACTTGAATAGTTAAAATTTCAAACTTGATAGTTTTGCATCATCTATCACCAATAAAAAATGCCTATGTAATAAATAATTAAATATTGAATCCAAAAAGTCCACTAAATATAAAAGATTAAATAGTTAAATGTCTTCTTCATCGTTTTCATCTATAAGCTTTAATCCTTGATCACTTCCACGGTCATTTGAACCACCAAAACGAAGAATAACATCCAATGCATCTAAATCATCAATCTCTGGATTATGAAGCTCGTCATTATTTCTATTGTCATCTAAATCACAAACATAAGAATAAATATATTAGATAAAGATACATAACTAATATAATCAAATAAAAAAATA